ACTGCCGCACTGCTCTGTGACCCTGTTTGCAAACCCTCGGTTGATACGTCGCTTTGCGTGGATTTGTGATGGGTAGGAGTACGTGACGGGCTTGCAATGGGTGCTTTTGTACTACTATCGTGGTGTGCAATCCTGGTCCTGGTTCTTTCCCAGCCACTACGCCCCTTTTGTCTCGGACATTGTGGGCATTGCGGACTTTGTGCCACAGTTTGAGATGGGCCAGCCTTTTCACCCCTTTGAGCAGGTCAGAGCAGTACCTGACAGCTTCTCTTCCACAACACTGACAAATGGCTTTTTCCATTCCTCTGCAACCCGCCCCGCTCGTGTGCAAGGGCCCTGCATCACCCAACTCATGCCAGTTGCATGTGTGTGTGTGTGCGTGTGTGTGTATATATATCAATATATATGACAGCTGCTGTCTGTATTGCCTCCAGCATCCAAGGCCCACGTGCCCCCTGGCTTGCAGGTATGACGACCACTAGCGCCAGACGCTGCGCTTAAAGCATTCTTGCGCCTGGTTTTTGTTTTCGTTTGGTTGGTTGGTTTTCTTGTTTTTGATTTTGGTTTTCCCTTGAGATGGGTTGGGACTTTTTGGGTTTGGTTTGTCTCAGTGACCCATTTGTTTTTTGGATCCTTTTCCTCTCTGAAGCCTGTGTTCGTCTGATTGTGTCATTCTGTGACTGGTGCTATTTTAGCCTTTGATGACAGACCCGGACTCGCCCATCTTGGACTTTTATCCTCTGGAGTTTGAGCTCGACCTCAATGGCAAGAAGAATGATTGGGAGGCCTTGGTATTGATTCCCTTCATTGATCAGGTTGGCGACGTTGACACCCCCCTTTGTATATGTGCGCTACGGGCATGTCAACAAGCGTGCAGCTTACGTGTTTGATTGGCTTGCAGGAGCGCTTGCTGCGTGCCATCAAGTCGCGAGCGCAGCACTTGACAGCTGACGAAATTGCCCGCAACCAATCGCGTACCGCGCTGAGCTACAAGCATGATCGACATGCAAATGGTGTCGCAGCTGAGTCGCCTTATCCTGACCAGTTTCCGCGCGTGGTGGCACAGGTGCGCGTGGAGGTGCTTAGCTTCCCCCACGCGGATGCAGATGCGCCCCCGTTGCGCTATCTGGACAACTTTGATCGCAGTCGGTACTACCCAGGCTTCCCAACCTTTCGCTTTCAGTCATATGCATATGGCCATCGCCACGCGCATGTGAAGGTTTTCAATTTCCCGACCAAGAACGAATCAATGATTGTGGACGTGCGTCAAAACCAATACCCGACTGCAGCTGAGGTGGCTCTTAGTCGCCGACTTTTGGGCACTGCCATCTTTGTGCGCTGGCCTCATTTGCACGAGGCACAGCTGGTGAGCGTTCGAACCGCTGACGCCATCTTTGAGCTGGATGAACATGGCCAACCGCGCAAGACCAAGGCACCGCCGGCGGCCCAGCGTGTGTTCCACGACACGAGTGAGCGATTATGCCATGACCTGCTGATCCAGCGTGGCATCGACGTGGGAAGTGTGTCTGTGCTGCTTGAGGTGCGCTTGAATCAAGGGTACAGCGACCATTTTACGGCCGATGGCATGGTGGAGCGGCGTCCTATTTGGGCAAAACGCACGATGCAGTTTCCTCTGCAAGTGTGTTTGCTGGACCTTCAGGTGTATCGGGACGACCACAATCTGAAGCAAGTGCCTCTTTCCGAGCGTGTTACGCCTGGGGCTGAGTTTTGCTATGTGGGTCAGCCATTTTATGGCAGCTTTGGCCATGTGGTGAACTTGGACACCAACGAGACGAGAGTGGCGGTGGATCTACAAATCCGTCCCGAAGCTGATGTAGAGCCGGTCTTCAAGACTCAGGGCAAGACGCCCTACGTGCCACTGAGTCAGGCAGCTCGAGCCACGGGCATTCATGCTGGCCTGCTCAATCGTCTGCTGGGTGACGTCTATCTTTGGGAGGGCACGCGAGAGCAACCCGACGAAAAGCATAACATTGGTCTGCGTCTCAAGTTCTCCAAAAAGGGTTTACAGGTGCGTCATGTTTGCTGATGGGGCCAGATGAGACGGCTTGCGCCTCATGCATCCTGTGGGGCTGTAGGTTATTGGCATGACAATGCGAACTGCGGACAACAACTGGCACGTCTCTCAAGCCTGCATCCAGGTCATCCTGGGCTACAAGCACCGGTTCCCCGGCGTGATCGAAGCGCTCCAGCAAGCTTCCTACTCGGGCGACCTGTTCGGCCAGGAGCTGCTGGGCCCGAGTGCACGCGATACGCTCCGGGCGCTGTCCAAGTATCTGCAATCCGACGTGGGCGTCAAGCGTTGGGAACTTGTGCCATGCGGGACCGAAGCGACGGCCACGTCGACACTTCACCAGTTGGAGAAGGTGCTAGACCTGCAGCTAGCCCGTGTGCAGCGGGCGCCTTCGGTTCAGCGCTTGGACCATGTGCGGCCGCAATTCTTGCTGCTTCAGCACACCGTGTTGCGCGATGGCCTCGGCCAACTGGCTGATCCGCACGCCAGCTTTCAGCTGGGTGACCGCGTGGTACGTTTGTGCTGGCGTCTGCCCTAGCCTTCTACACATTTTCTCTCTCTCCCCCTCCCTCCCTCTCTCTCTCTCTCTCTCTCTCTCTCTCTCTCTCTCTCCCTCTCTGTCTCTCCCCCTCTCGCGCGCGCGCTCTCTCTGTGACTTGCTCGTGACTCAGCCTTTTTCTTTTGCTTGTGACATGGTGGTTAGGCTTGCGTTCGTGCAGCTGGGTCCGTCCCTTGGGCGGCTCATGGGTACCTGGTGGGTCTGTACGGTGGTGACTCGGATGATGTCGAAGTTCTTTTTGATGAACCGTTTATGGGTGGTACCAACCTTGGCGGGCGCATCAAGTCGTTGCGTGGTTACCGCTTGCCCTTGGCTTTCCTTGTCAACTTGAGCTATGGACGTCGCGCGGCCGGCTTGCCGAGCTATGTACCTGGCGAGGCAAGAGTGCACACTCCATCGTCGACCTCGTCCGCGGCAGCTGCGCCCGCTGTTGCTTCTAACCCTGATGCGAGCCAGCGTTTGCTCGGCATGTTGCGCAAGACCGCTGACACTGCACCGACGACGCCAACCACCAATGCTGACTCATACGAGCCCCCCGCTGGAGCGACGTTGCCGCCTGTCCTGCCTCCTGGACCGACGTTGCCGGCTCCCGGCGATGCGACTGTTGTCCGGCAGGGACAGCTCAAGGGTCAGGCGCTTTTGAGTGCCCTGAAGGCCAAGACTCAGGGCGCGCAAGGCGCTACGAGGGCGGTTCCTGCGCAGGCTGACGAGCCCGTCCTGCTGCTGCCGGCACCTGCTGGCAGTGAGCCGGCGGAGGCTGGTACCGACGCTGTGCCGAAGGGTCGCTCGAAACTGCCGGTCAAACGAACGCCTCATGGTCCTGGTCACCGCGAGCTGGGCTTTCGCGGTCGACAAGCCCGCCAGGAGCAGCAGCAGCGTGCTTCCCACGCTCGTCAGCTTGGTCCCGATGCACTGCTCCACCAGGTATTGATCTTGTGGCTTGTACTTTCACGTGTGCTTTTCAACCGCCTGCGACGTCGTGTCGGGCGGCGTTGACTTGGATTGCTGCTATGGGTTGTGGCTGTGTGACTGCACTCACTCTTGGATGCATCCTCGTGTCGTGTAGCGAGACGTGCAGATTGACGGTCAGAAATATGATTTGGATGACTATGCGCAGCTGTGGCAGACCTTGATTGCCAAATCAAGGCAATAGACGCCTAGAGCCCGGTGGTGTTTGGGTGCGTGCTATGCGCGTGATGTCGTGCTGGTGACACAACAATGCTCGACTCTGAATCTGCTGCTGCTTGCTGTGACTTGTTCACATTTCGGTATTTGTGTTGCGGCGAGTTGTTGTTGGACGAATTAAAGTTTGCTGCCATTCTTTCTTGAGATATCAATGTGATTCAGCAACCTTTTCCTTCTAACTAGTGGTGGCGAGGTCGAGCTACCACGTTGCCCTCTCTCCTCTCGCACTTTGGTGAGCCGTGGAGCGCTGCGTGTGACCTGGGGAGTTACCATCAAGTGGCTAGGGTGTGGTTGCTCCAAGTTGTTTGATGCCTCGGGTATGCACATGTCAATAAATAATCAGTGCTTGCGCATATCCGATACTGGCAGAACCGCACCAGGCTACATGAAAAGGAATCCAAGGCATCTGTCATCTGAAATCGGATCAGCTGACTGAAATCACGTCTCGGCAACACCCGCAACACCTCCTTACATTCAGCACAGCTTACGACCTCAGAGGGGAACACGACCTGATCGACGTCGAATCGGCAGGGACGCACGGGCCAAGGCTAGAGTCGATAACAAGGAAGCAAGCGAGCCGCATAGCGGAAAGTGAAAAAATTCAGGTAAAAATAGTAGAAAAATCATCCAAAACTCACCGCTAAACAAACGCCAAAAAAGAAAAGAGAGTTACTCAACCTCCCGCCGAGATTCGAACTCGGGACGTTGGATTCAAAGTCCAAAGTGCTAACCGCTACACTACGGGAGGTACTTCAACCAAGGTCGAATGTCAGGCAAATTTCCGAAAGATACCTGATATAAAGGGAGTCAATGATGTCGAAGCGAGTTAAAAATGTAAGAAAAACACAGCAAACGCTACAAAAAAGTTAACGAATGACCTCCCGCCGAGATTCGAACTCGGGACGTTGGATTCAAAGTCCAAAGTGCTAACCGCTACACTACGGGAGGTACTTCACGTGAGGTTGCGTTGCTAAATGTATACATAAACTACACAATAACTTTACTACTACAAAGCATGTCAGAATGTCAGATGAGATTATTTTCCAAATTTCTCCAACAGTTCCAACGGTTGAAATTTTTTTTCGGGCGGTCGAATCTGCCTGCGACGAGAAGCACCTTGGACGAGTGGATGCGCATGCGTGTGGTATTCACGGAAGGAGTGTGCAATCTATCAGTAGCAAGAGACAGTTTGTTATCGAGCGCTAGGGCTGGGAAGCGAATGCCATGGAGTTTGGGCGGAAGAAGAAAATATTGTCTGCCGGGTGGCCCCTGTGCGAGCTGCAAGCAACCCAAGGACTGACGCCCACCGGCCGACTCGTCTTGCGTGATGCACCCGACTATCAGGTGCGATCGGTGTGGCCTTTGATCGAATAAGATCACGCATCAATGCCTGGAATTTGTTTCAATATTGTCTCAAATGTCACGCCCGGTAGAATCCCGTCGTAGCCACGGCAGCCACCACAGATCAGTGCCTGAATGCCTATGTGCGTGGGTGCTCGGGTCGGCTTGTGTTGCCACCCAGGGTCCAGCCATCGGGCTGTTGCTCACGGCTTGCTTTTGTGCTGAATGCTTGATTCTATTATTTGTGCTTGACGGGACAGGATGCGGCGCACGCACACGCAGCACTCGTGCAGGCCCAGGTGGCAGCTCGTCAAGCTCACGTCCGTCACGTTCGCCAGCGTAAGTTGTCCTGGTGCAGACCGGGCTTGGATTGTAAACTGCGGTGTGGTCTTTGTTTCGGGAAAGACTGAGCTCACTGCCAGCTTTCGATCAAAACATCGTGGCTTTGGCTGGCTGGGGATAGGCGTGAAAGCCCGTGTACAAGCCGTGCGCACGTTTCAGACGGGCATGATCAACGCCCATGCTGCGCATCATGCTAGCCTTGCTGGCGTACAGCAACTGGCGCCCACGTGCTTGCCTGGCCGATTAGCCACGGTATGCAGTGCTTCGAGGCGTCGCTCGTGCACCTGCTGTTGACGACTCAAAAGTGCTCTGAGCCCATGCTCAATATGCATGTCCTCGTGGGCCATTCGGCTCTGCTGCATCTGTTCATAGGCCATCCATTGCGGCGCGGGTGATCGCCATGCGCTTGATGTCGGTCGCAATGAGCAGCCCGTGCGTTTCAAATCCAGACGACATGCACCCTCCCTCTCTGCACTCTTGTGCTCTGCCCAATCTCATTCAGCATGCATTGCATCGCACCTAGACGCTGTCAGAGCGCGCGGAGCAACGAGGCTCCGACAAAGCAACCGCCACGTACGCCCTCCTCTCCTCATGGTCTTCTCCTCGTGGCCTCCTCCCTTTTGAAGGCCAACACAGACGGTCGTGAATGCTATTCAATCTTTGACCACAATACTCTTGTCGCGCATCTGCTCCCCATTCCTTCCTTGTTACCCACAGTCAGCTTTTGTTGTCTCGAAGGGTCGTGCTGGATGAGAACGATGATGGCTTCCAGCACTTTTGGCGCAGCAATTCGAGCCAAGGCACGCGCGAAGAGCCAACAACAGAGCCATTGAACGACTCTAGCGGGCTGTCCATTATAAGCAACACGCCCAGCAGAGCCACGACCCCTGCTGCCTCGGCGCAAGGCGAGCCGGCGTTTGAAGAGCTTGACACGAGTTCTTTGAATGCCGAGCGCTTGTCACCGGTTGGCACACAACATCATGGTAAGAAGGCTCGTCTACCCTAGGCCTCACAGTCCAGCTGGGGCGCCAACTCACACGGACTGTGCTCCACGCATAGAACCAGCTCGGGCTACCAGTGCCCTGTCACAGCCGAAGCGGCATTATCTAGTGTCTGAGTGAGTTGCAGGTTTCAACTCGCGCGACACGTGACATACGTGACTGGGGTTGATTTTTTGATACAGGAGCAACTGCCATGCTCAACATGTTCTGGTGGCATGTGTTTGTGTGGAATGGATAGTATGCTGGACGATCTTTCGGCAGCAGATCGCCAACGGCAGGCACGATTTGTGCTCGAGTGTCGGTAGGTGTTGCACAAGTTGTCCATGAAAAAGCCATGACAACGTTGACACATCTTACAGCACATGCCGGCGTGACTCATCGCAGCCAACGGGCTGCAGAGCAGGAGCGTCATCGAGCGCGCGCCTACCATCAAATCAACCAGCAACAAGCGCGCCTTGCGCAGGTTAAATCTTTGCGCGAGCAACATCGTCGCATCCTTGAGCAAGAGTTTTCGTCACAGCAAAGCAATGCTATGGACTGATCACAACTATGCCACCCTCGGTATGCGCTGTCTTATGTATTCCTCTGTATTACATGACCCCACCTTCCTTTCCCGAATTTAGAAGAGCGAAATGAGCCGACGTAATTGTTTGATTTCAAATCAGCCAAGGATAAACATAACCCACAACCCTGGCAACCCCACGGGCTAGACAATCATCAATATTTTTGCTTAGAAAACAGGGGGGCGAGAGCACACGAGACATGCAAAGGCTACAGAGCGCTGTCTTGCAGACTAGACCCAACCAAGGGCCAAGCCTCAGCGAGGAGCATTGCAGTAGAAGAGTCAGCATAGCTACGCACGCGCCAGGTCAAGCGTGCTCACAACACTGCCCAAGTTGGCAATGCTTTGGGCATGGCCGGAAACCCGTTGTTCTGTGACCAAGTACCAAAGGCATCCACTTCAATGAGGTACGAGGCCACGCTAACACGTGGCCCTTTGAACTTGGAATGCAGCAAGGCGGGAGAATATGGGCGAGAAGCACACCTGTCGGGGGTGTGACAATGTGGTAGGCTTGCAGCTTCTCATCAAAGGACCAGCCACGACGGCCTTCAAGCTCTATGGGCCGACGGAGGTGAGAAACTGCCATTGCCATCGCTATTCAATCAGCACTGCGGGCAAGAGGTAGAAGCAGCCGCATACCCATCTGCAGCTCTGCTGCAGAAGTGCCCGTGAATTCGCAGAGCCGTTCGAGTGTAATACTGCTGTACGCCTGTTCAACCCGTTCCAGTGTGTGGCGAAGATATGTGACTATTCGAGGCATCAGCAACCAGGTGTCAGAGCATGCATCAACCGGAATTCCAGAGCAGGAAAATAGCAGACACAGGGGTAAGCGCCAAGATAGTCCGTTGGGTGGAAGATATGCTTGAATACCTACCTGCTAGTTCATTCACAACCAGGTGAAGCACTGGGGACCAGGTCCCTGCGGTGACCATGTGGGCTATGGGGTTTTGCTGCCACATGGCTCGGCCTAACTCCCACACTGCACTGGCCTCCTCGATGTGGTCGGGAAAACGCGTCTGTGCTCGCTTCCACGCAAATCGAGCACTATTCCTGCACACAGGTCCAGTGAGATGTTGATTCTTGTACCCGAACCGTGCCCGCCTGAGCCTACGGGGGTAGGATCAGCGACAAGACAATGTCACTCCTATGCGAATTCTTACAAGTCATGCTTGAGGAGAAACGCAGCAATGCTCAGCGCTGATACTAGCGGTGCAGGCGTCTACGTCAACATCTGGAGGTGAGTGTTCCGACAACACATGACCAAACTTGGGGCCGGAACGATTGCGAATCAACCTGTAAAGCTGCAAGCTGCAAATGTGCACACAAGGCGTCGTGGTTGCCTTCGGCCAAGAATGCCTTGATGGTGTCTTCCTCCACTGGAACAGCCATGTCGGCTGACCACGATCCCCTTTCACGACACGACGATTTTACGGCGTCAACTCGATGAGCGGAAAAAAACCGCGAAAGCAGTGAAAAATGGACCAATAACCCGCCAAATTTTGAATTTGTCATCATATTTTCTCGACTCGCCATTTTTTTTTTCGGGGGGTCCGAAGCTTGCACGAAGCAGTGATTGTCTCCGAGACCCTTGAAAGATCACAGCCAACAGGGTGCAAGAGGACGGGCCAGATTATACTCGGGTTCAAGTTGACCCGGGCACCATGGCAATGCACCCCTTGTCAGAGCGGCAAATTGCCAACTTCCAAGAGTAAGCTTAATGGGTGCTTGCTTGCTCGTTCGAGCCGTTCAGACTTGAGATTCGTGTCACTCAGCCATATCACTTCCTCAGGGTGGTGGAAAAAAAGAACGTGTCAGCACAGCAATGGAACCTGGATCGGCTACCTAGTGATGGCATTCAAAACGATCTCGGTCTTGAACTTGAGGCTGCCAAGGTGAGAGTGTCTTTGCGTCGGCACCGTGTCTCAGCGATTGGGTTTGGAAAAAAGAAGCAGTGTGCAAACAGCCGCCTCGTGTGCATCAGTAACATCTGATTGAATCTGTGCGGTGCTGAGTAGAAACAATTTGAGAAACTCGAATTCAATTACGTGCAAGTGGCTAGTCAGCTTGAGTTTATCCAGCGTGTGAGTATCGTACAAGGGTTCATTGTTGCGCTGGCAGGCCCAAGCGACCGAGTTCTGATCAACATGCTGTCACACTCGAGGCTCGTCATGTCATGTTGTGTTGTCCACACATAAAGTGTCCTTGCCTTTGAATCGGTGTTCTTTTTTTCTTTTTTTTTTTGTTGTGCGCAAAGCTTGTTGTTCTCTTGAAAGTTTTTGGCGGACTTACCCTGCCTGCTTCAACGGTTAGGTGGCACAATGGGATCCTGAGGCAGCGGAAGAGCCCGCAGCGGCAGTAACGGGTGCGGCCTTGCTTTCAGCACAAGCCGTCTGCGTCTTGAATATGTTCGAGTCAGCCTGACTTCTCTGTGTATGTCGACTGCTGCTTGCAGATGCTGCCATGGCTTCGGCTCGCGCGCAGCTCAAGGCCATTCAGGAGGAGGCCCAGAAACAACATGACAGGATTGCACAAATTGCCGAGTCTAGCATTGAGAATCGACAAACCATTGGTGTAGGTACAAGTGCTTGGTATTTTTCTTAAAAAAAATTTCTTGCTCCGCTTGAGGTCCTGCCGGGTGTTTCTACCAATATGACAAACTTGTTCGGCTGGTTTGCGCCCGTAGACTCTGGCGCGGGAGTGCACAGAGCTGCTACGAATGGTGAGCGCCGAGAATACCAAGTATCAAGAAGTGTATGAGCAGCATGCAGCACAGACAGCTCAGCTGCAGGGTGTCGACGCAACAACAGACCTGGAGGTAGGCTTTTTTTTTCCAAATTTAACGTCATCAGAAGAGACTGAGGACTTCATGAAGCCCATCCATTTGTCTGTTCCCAAAGAGTGTTGGCATCTCTCAGACCGGTCTATTGTCTCATGGTACAACACCCTGTGTTGAATGATCGATGCCAGGCTGAGCTGGCCATGCTTGAGGATGAGGTCATGGCCCATGAGCAGGAATTGGTCCAGCTTGAACAACGACATGCGCAGCTCAAAGAAACTACGAGTGCCACAGAAAACCGGCTGGCAAACTTGCACAGCGAATGCGAGCAATTGCAAGGTTCGTTAATGCCGCCTATGGTGCTGAACAGTGGCACGGTTGGATGCCAAGCACTTACTTTTCAATTTGGGGATAACACAACACATCCATGTGGGGCCTCCTCCTTTCCATCATCGTAGCTGAAATGGCCAGCGAGCAGAATGACGACCGGCAAGCCGTCCGCGAAGCCATCGCCGAGCAAAGTGCGCAGCTTGCGTTACAGCAAGTCCTCAGTGGCATTGAAATCGAGGTGTGTTGGTCGTGCAAATTTCACGCCCTTTGATCGTCAGGCCCAAGCTTGTTCCATGCCTTTTATCGCGCGCTTTCACCCACTGACGCTTTCCCATGATGGACTGGGCTTGGCAGCGGGAGGATGAGCAGTGCTTGGACCTGCGCATCACCGTGGGCACCCAGCGCCACCACGTGGCTTTGATTCGCCAAGGGGGCCAAGTGCAGCAAATTTTGGTAAGACATGCTGCTCAGCAAGTGGTGATCTCTCATTGTCCGTTCCTTGCAGGACCCGAGACTCATCGCTCTTCTTCTCTCCCCTCTCAGCTTAACGGCTCAGACAGCACCATAAAGCAGCAATATCGCCCTTTTTTGGACCGTAATGACTTGGGCGGGGCTTTGCGTGCTGTCATCGCCCATCTGAGTCAATGAAGTGCACATTGTAGGGCTGGTGCTCTCGCATCAATGTTCCCGCAAGCCCCGCACACGCGCGCAGTGTGCCCCTCTCTTCTTTGTGTTCTTCTCTTTTGCATGTTATCCGTGGTCTCTTCTTTAGATGAGTCTGACTTGGCCAAGTTGTCCGGCACAAGTCCGTCAGCTTTGAAAAATCTCAAAGTTATGCGTCTGTCGTCCTCAATGATGTCGAGAAAGTTGAATAGTGTCCCCTGCGTCGCCCGATGGTTACCACCAAATTGATGTCCACACATGAGTCGTTTTCCCATCAAATGCGTGTGTAACCGAAAACAAAAACACCCATGACATTGTTTTCAATTCTGGGCCACTGGCGGGCCGACTCATGGCCCAAGTTTGAGCTCACTTTGGAAACAACATGCATGGCTCTAGTCGCCAAGCTTTCTAGTTCTGAGCACGACTTGATCATAGCAAAGACTGCTTACAGCAGCATGGAAACTGAAATGACGCCGCTCAAACCAATCACAGACGCGTTGACGGCCGTTGGATAGACTCGAAAGGTAATTGAAATCAGACTTGAGGGTCCTGCTTTATAGCTGAATGGTAAGCATAACGGGCTTGTGATCCCCCATGCATACATCCAGGCCTATTACGCCATAGGAGGCCGAAATGGCCCGGGTCTCTGCTTCACTGGACATGATGATTCGATCACACCAAGCGGGACAGCGCTTCTCCAGGAACTCACAGGGTCGGGCCAAGTCCTCTTGGTATGGGTAGGTTGGAGGGAATGTGATGGGGCATTCTGTGTAGCCCGAGGGCAGCATGGTGCCCTCAACATCAAATGGGCGCATGGACTCGCCTCTCTCTTCATAAAAAATGCGCTCTTTGTCTTTGAGAAGGAAGGACTTGGCAGTCACACAGAGGCAATCGTCGCCATTGGCATCGCGCAGCACGACTGATTTCTCGCCACCGTCAGCGACATCCACCTTCTTCTCGACGCACTTCAACCGTTGTGCCAAGACCTGCGGCTCAGTCAAAAGCACGATGGGGGGGGGGGGGTGGAAGCAAGGGAAGACATCACCGCGTGTCAGGCAAACGCCCAAGACGGCAACTTCAAGTGGTGCAAGGCGGCTGGGGAAAGGTTGAGCCAAAGGCAGAGGCGCTTACCGGCAGGGCGTCCTTGAGGGCAAGTCGAAAATTAAGATCACCAAACAGGAAGGTGTCTTCATCTGGTTGTGTGATCGCATCGACGGTGTATTGCAGCGCCTGCTGACGACACAAAGCATACTGCGACGGCGAAGTCTTGAGGGCTGTCATATTGCTTGCATCATGAAAAAGGTGGCTGTTGATGAAGGCCGTGGGTTGCTCATTCAAGCGCCAGCGCGTGATGGAAAAGCCCTTTCGTGTCCATGGCTACGTTTGAGAAAAGGAATATTGATGAGTGCATTTTTTCGTCCCTGATTGGGCACATGCGAAGAGCAAGGGTGGAAAGACTCGATGTCAGGAGGAAAAGGACGGGCAGGGCTCACAATTGGGTAGGCATTGTCTGCAAAGCGGCTGCGTCGGAATTGGCTCGTCTTGGAAGCAGCCGTGCTGGAAAGATGAACGACATGGCCCTCAACCGGCTCATAAGTGTTCGAGTCGTGGTCAAAAATAGTTGCGGAAATTGTCGGTGCAATTAGATAGATTGATCCAAGTGCCTAAGCGTTAGAAACGCGGGCAAGGCAAAAGTGTCAGCTGGGAACCCAAGACAATCAATCCGTCTGTTGCAATGCGTGTTTCATCCCGGGCTTGCACATTTAATACCGTGAAGGAGGGAGACTGGCCGCTATCGTCCAGAATGGCAAGGCTTCGGTCAAACATGCCCGGCGGCAAGTGTTCGAGCAAGACCCTGCGGCAGCAACCGGTGAGTTAAGAGACCAGGGGTAGAGAGAGAGCGAGAGGAAGAAAGCTGTCAAGTGGGAAGTGAACGCTGTCACGGACTGGGCAAAGTTATCAACGTTGGCAATTCCATCTTGGTATGCTTTCCCACCCAGCTCCTGCATATGGAGGGCCACAAAACCTGGATTGGCTGCCTCAATGGCCTGGCATGCACCAAAGGGACGCATATGAGCGTTGGGATCGGGCGTATGGGCGAGATTGGATCGTTTTTGGCTCACCTTTGCGATGGCGGAGAGCCATGTCTCAGCCAGTGCCTGATACTCCTCGAAGAGGGTGCCCACGTTGGCTGAGATCAGGAGCGCACGGGAAGGAGCTGCTGCCATGCTCTCGTTGTGGGGTCGTGCTTCCACGGCGGGGCTAAACCTGAATGGTTCTGACCAACGTGTTTCTTTGTGTGCCAGCGTGCCACAGCCAGACAGCGCTCAGCTCAGCAATCCAGGTCCAAGGCAACCCTACATGTACTCTTCTGCACGTCTCTGCGCCTGCTGCCTCTCCGAGCTGACACCAACGTCCGTTCAGACCGTCCCAGTCTGCTCATGTCTTTCTCCCCCACCCCCAACAAAACCCCCAAAACAGTGAATGACACACATTAGAGAGAAAGTTTGACAGAGAGAGAGAGAGAGAGAGGAAGTTTGAGAGAGAGAGCCAAGGACAGCGAGCAGGGTTTTCCCATAAAGTATGACAACAAGTACAGTTTGAATGTACCTATGACGACGGCTGTTGGGCGGGAAAAGCAGAATTTGTCGCGCCATGGGTCGACGTGCCGATGCGATGTAGGGGGACATGGCTGAGCAGCCGGGTTCAAGGGGGATGGGAAGGACCGGCCATGTGTTTATTGTGGTCTGGAAACGTGCCAAGATCGCAGACAGCAGACGTGTTTTGATTGGTAATTTACAGCTGCCGGGGCGGGGCGGGACTCGAGCAAATCAAGGCCTGTCAACGTGTCAACTTGCAAATCACAGCCACACCACCCACACGACAATCCGGTTCCGGTTCGTGCTCTTCCAAATTGATTGTTTTCTCCAGTATGGTGACGTGCGCTCGCATTGTTACAGCCACACGCGCAACGTAGCTCATATGCCCTTTGAAGAATATGTCTATCGTCCTCCCCAAGGTAGACCATGTGGGCTCGTGTTAGAATGACGTCCCGCCATAGCGAGGAAAAGGCTTTTGTCCCTCCTCGTCATAAAGGCGCACTTCGAGGATGTGGGCACGGTCAATGCCGTTGGTGGCCGTCACGTTGATGCGTATGTCTGAATAGGCCGTGGCGCTGTTTTGAAGACCCAGGGCATCTGCTGCGGTTTGCGCTTGATTGCGGTGAGCCGCATAGGCCGAGCTGGCAAACGGCGTTTGGTGGTCCAAGCAATAGCCACCTGTCGCGATCATGAAGGCGTTGTTTTTGCTGGACTTTTGTAGAAAGGTCCACGTGCCCTCCGAGCCCATGTCAGTACAGCTCCACAGCTCTACACCAGCGCCCTCTTGAACCTCGTGGTTTGACGCCACAAACTTGGCACACTGACATTCTCCCTGATAGTCGATACAGGGTACGCTTGATTCGAGCCGCACAGTGGTACCGTTGATTAGTGTGGGGTCCAGGCGCCACGTCGGTGCTGTGGCACATGGCGCCACCTGTATTGCATTGCCGTGTGCCTGATAGGCAGCCGAGCTGTTGCTGAAGGTGAGGCAAAGCTGGGCTCCTTGCAGGTTTTGGAGCTGACCATGCGCATTGAGCGTCCACAATTGTGAGGGGGCAGAGGGGTCGCAAGTCGAAGCTCGAACGTCTGCAGCTGAGGCTGGAGGCAGCGGCGAGCTGCCACCACCACTCGGTGTGCCGGGGTCCGGATGGATGGGTGAGCATGGCAGCGAATGCACGCGACGGCGCTGATAGTTGCCGGTAATATTGCACAAAAGCTGCCATTGACCTTCCACCAGGCCCTCAATGGTGTAGTCCCGGACAGTCTCGGGCTGGGCCTTCCAAATACCAAAGCGATAGTCGCGCACTGCAAAGGTCAGCAGTCGATGCATGCCTAGTCGAGACATTGTGGGTGGTAAGTGCATTCAAGCTGCATCCAAGCTGACTTGGGAATCACGCCATTGCTCACGTCGGGAAGGTATACGAACCAGTATCAAAGGTGAGCTGAGCCTGGCGCACTTTTGCTGGCTGTGGGAGGCTGAGAGTCATCCAAGCCGGGAGCTTGGTACTCATCCAGCGATTGGTACCGTTGATGCCTTGACCCACGGGGACACCTCCCATCCCTGTATGGGCTTGGAGGGGTGTCACGACGGCACGCGTCTGGCCTGTGAGGACGTTGCGGGCCCGGCCGTCAATGCCGCCCGCAAACAGCTCTGTCGAGGCTTGAACGCTTGCATTTCGGGCATAGTCTCGTGGATCCTCGTTTAATACGCCAATTAAGTAGGCATCGTCTCGGATAAGCTGTTGTTGCAGGCTCCAGAGCTAGGGTCAGCAATACACACCCGGGCTAGTATGAGAAGCCGCTTGGCATCATGCGGGTAGCATGGTCGTTATGCAGCTATAACTGGCAAGGTGCACAGATCGTCAAGATTGCACAGCACCGCTTCAGGATTGCTTGGGAGATCCAAAGCCTTGCATCCCAGGCGTGCAGCTAAAGCCGCTGCTGTTCCTGTCATTGTTGATGCACACGCCAAGGTGTTCCAGAAGGTGGATGAGAAACATTGAGTGGTGGGCGATTTTGACAGTCACAAGTCATTCCAGACACCTGTGTGGAGGCATGGGCCAAGGCCTACCAACAGCTTGACCCATAGTTGAGCAGGTCTTCATGACGCGCTGCGAGCCAAAAACGACGTGGGAGAAGCTGCCCAGGCGACCGGCAAAAAACAAGTTGTCCACGTCCTTGCTGATGAGAGAGCGAAGCGGGGTCGAAAACATGTATGGGCTTTTGTACGCCACATAGGGAGGGTGGGCCGTGTCAAACATGCCCTGCCATGTGTAATCATGCGGGGATCACGGCAATCAGACCACCATGTCGTTACTGGCTGTGAAACCAGGGTGGGAGATGCACGAGGTCATCGCTTCTTCACACCTTGGGGTTGTGCAGGTCAAAGTTCCAACCAGCGAAAGCAACTCCTGTCGTCACACAAAAAAAGTGAGATGGGAGGGGCACAGGCAGCAGGAAGGCGCTCGGGCATTGTGGAGCTGACAGAATGAAGCGAACGAACGAACGATCGTAATAGAGGTCTGGGACTTGAGGTGGGTCGGCGTTGGGATTGCGCATGATGTCGTTTTGGGAAGAGACGTACAGGCCACGAAAGCGACGCCCCTCTCGTTTGCAGGGAACTTGGCCAAACCACTGAAGGGCCCAGTGAGACGAGCCCGAGACTTGACCCGAGTTTTTGATGTAATCCCAAACGCCGAACAGGTTCTCAAACAGTCGATCGCGAATGGGCTCGTTGTCCGTGACCGTATTGTAAGGCCAGGAGATTTCAATCCACCAATAGCCATACTAGAGGATGACAAGATGATCAGCGATATCAAGAGCAGCCCTACCTCGGGAAAAGCATATTGAAGGGCTTTGATCATGGCGGCCAGCGGACCTGCATGTCAGAGAGGCCACGAAACTTGAAGTCGGTGGCGTTGAATTTGCGAGCCCAGGGCGGGGCTCGATAGGTTTGAGGCGTGTCCATTTCGACGGCCACAAAGGCCAGGGAAGAGCCTTCAGTTTCACTGTCTGGACCTAGGAGTCGGCGTTCATGACAGTTTAGTCATATGGATGGGCAGGTGGAGGTGATGTTTGGCATTGACGGACACGAGATGAGCATACCTTCAGCCAGGCTCTCATTAAAGTCGGAGGGCCCCTCCCGTCCCATAATGAACTCTGCACCGGCTTCCGCACCCAGGCGCCCGTCACCGCTGGCGTCAATGAATTGCTGCATGATGTCAAGGGCAAGAGGTATGTAAGCTCTAGGGCACCAAAAGTTCTGGCATCGTGCAACTGACAAAGCAAGGGACGAAGGGGGTGGGCACAGCTTCAGACCCGAGCGTTGATGATGTAGCGATTTTGCGACTGCTGGTCTTCGGCAACGGCGGTGACAATTTGGGTGCCATTCTTAACGACGGATACAAGCCACGTGTTTAAGAAGTATCTGGCAAGGTGGAGGTCGAAAAAGCAGGCCCAGGAGGGGATGAGAATATGTGATACTGGACTGCAGCGCAGCGGGCAGCTTGACGGACTGAAGATTGGGCTCCATGCGGATCTTGTTGTAGAGCTCGAGGGAGAAGAGCTCGGCCACGTGATTGGGGTTGTTGATGGCATTGTCGAGCGTATATTCTTCAACAATGCCGCCTAGGTGGTCCAGGTGGCATGTGAAACAAGGTGCAACGCACCCATGCGTTGCACCCACCACACTTGTCGCTGGTAAATGATACGACATGAGAGTGTGGATCATATCCTCACCTTCACGGCATTCGAGCGTGTAGTTGTTGGAGTCTTTCCAGCGTGGGCCACAGGCACCAACCATGGCAAGTTTAATCTCCGAGCCTGCGTTGCCGCCAAACTGAAGGATCGGCATGGTCATGCCTGGGTCAGCAAATGCCAGCTGGTTCGGGCGAGCCGTCGACTACACTACTTACAACGGGGCGGCCTTGCAAGATCACGGTCCTTGCGCCGGAACGGGCAGCAGCGATGGCGGCACTGACTCCGGACGAGCCCCCACCGGCCACCACGACATCAACCTCAAGGTAGTTGTCCACCAAGCCGGAGGCGGGCGGTCGGCCTGTACGCGGCTGGCGCCGTCGTGTTCAAGTACGGGTACATCAAGATGAGCGGTAAAGAACAAGGCAGTGCACATAGATGGCCAGCATGAAAACAGCTACACCCATAGAGATTGGCGATGCCTGCGCCAGCGTACCAGTTCGCCAGTCGCAAGATGCAGGGTTTGACCTCCGAGGCCGCTGCCCAGCCCTGCAAAGTGGCATTGCATTGAGGACCTTCATCCAGCCACGCGAGATCAAGAGGGTGGTAAGGCGCATGGCGCTGCAGGCCCGACTGACTCACCGTCTGGATCACCAGCTGCATGAGCCAGGGCCACCAGACTTGCCCACACGAGCAGCGCGAGCACCGGCAGCCGGCCGACCACGTTGCGGTTCATGACTCTTGTCATTCGCTTCGCGTCTATCAGATAGTGTAGATCAGCGTCCCAAAACAAACAAAATAAAACATCAACAAACCCATTTTAGCGAACGCAGTCACAATACTTATATTTATTTGTCAGACTTTTGCTGAGTCGACGAACGCTGACGTTGTGTGTGTGTGTGTGCTAAATTTGGTTGATGACGGGGCTACGTGTGTCCACCGACCTTCTGCTTTCATGTGTGTGTGTGTGTGTGTGTGTGTGTGTGTGTTGTGATGGCTGTGTTGGCGTGCCGCGCGGTCAGTGTCGATCGTTGGCGTTGAAGGGGGTCAACAAGTGCCGGGTGGCGGTGAGCCAGTGGCATTTTTTTTGTTGGAAACAAAGTCGGGAACGGCGGCATTGGTTGGATAGCAGTGGTTCGTAGGTCAACTACGAGCCTTCTTCCAATCACCGGGTGGATCCCTTCAAGTTTTTCGGGCGACGCGATCGAGACTTGTTCTACACTGCGCGCTGCTCTGCCCTCACAACACTCGCACAAACACGCACATCTGGTACACGCACTGTCCACGCACGCACACTGTTGCACCGTCGTATTTGAGCTGTGCAATCATGGACTCGGCGGCGATCAATCCTTCCGTTGCCGGACCGGCTGAAGCGTCGGACCAGCTCAACGTCAAGGCTTTCTACCTGGACGAGGTGCGACGCATGTCGGTGAAGCATGCGCTGCTGACGCGGCCCAAGCGCTTCCTGAACGAGGTCGGCCCCAAGTTTCCAGCGCTTGCTGGGCACAATGGCGGCTGGTTTAGCGATTTTGCTGTTGCTGTTCAGCATGGTGAGTTGGATGTCCTGGTCGTTGAATGTACCCCATACGCTTTCCGGGCTGTATATCGAGACATCCAGTATCGAGACACCCAAGCTCTTGCACACGGGTTGGTTCATGATCGAAATCTTCTTTTTTGACTCACATTCTGCTTTTTTATTTTTTAAATTATAGATGCCGTGGCCGAGGGTGAATGGCGCTTGTGTCGCGACAAGGCCAGCTTCAAGGCAGCGCTCGGCGCCGTGGCGACCAGCTCGGCGTCGACGCCTTTGCGCATCAAGATGGTTCCCACTGATGCCGTGAATGCCTTGGATGCCGATGCGGATGCCGATGCGGATGCCGATGCGGATGCCGATGCCTCAAACGCTATTGTCTCCAGCAGCCCTCAGGCTGCGAGCGCCAAGGATGAGGCCGAGGTCAACGTGGTGGATACGGCGGGGGTGGCATATGCTGCAGCGCTGGATCAGCTTGACGCTGCCAAGGCCCGTTTGGCGCGCGTGAAGGAGCAAAATCGCCGCACTATCGAAACGGTCAAGGCCTATGTGGAGCAGGTCAAGTCGGACAATGCTGCTCGTTTGGTCGATGCTCGAGCCGCCGTGGACACGGCCAAGGCCATGGTCACGGCCACCAAATCGGTGGTTGAGGCCACGGGAGCCAAGCCGCGCAAGCAGGCACGTCGTCACCGTCAACCGGCAGCCGCTGATGCGGTTGCAACCGAAACTGAAACTGAGGCGACGAGCCAAGCCGCTACAACCATGGGCGAGACCGAGGCGACTGGCCATGGTATGCGCTGCAAGGACAAGGTTGTCTCTGAGGTCAAGGCCACTGCTTGCGACACTGCGGCAGAGAGTTCGTTGGTGCGGAAGCAACAGGCCCGCGATGCCGCACTCATTTTGGTGGAGCGTGTTCACGGTCGTGGCCGTGGTCGCGGTCGCGGTCGCGGTCGCGGCTTTGGTGGTCGAGGTGGTCACGGACATCATCATCATCATCATCACCATCATGGCACACGCCACGGTGACTGGCGCAATGAGTTTCGTACTCATCATTGGGAGCGCAAGGCCCAGTCCTTTGACCTTGTTTCGGATTTGAGCACGCTTGAGCCCGGTACAGTGGTGATGGTGCGCACAATGGCACCCCACGCCACCTTCAAGAGCCGCAAGGGTGGTTTGCGCATCGAGTCCAATTTTGCGGTGAATTGCCGTGGTGGATGGGGGCCCTTTGCTCGACTGCTGGTTGTGGCCTGCGATGATCAGGGCCGCATTCAGCTGCGTCGTGGCGTCGATGGGCCATACCTGGCGCTGCTTGAGGGAACGCTCGGGGCCTCCGCAAACGTGCGGGATGCAGTCTGGGTGCGCCTAAGTCCGGTGAACAAGACCACCGGCTGCGACAAAGCCAAGGATGAAGGTGAGCCCGAGACGGAGGCGTCGCTGGTGGGTGTGCTGGTGGAGGGCCAATATCCCGGGGAGCCTGGCTACTGGGTCTGTGTGGAGCCGTCGGGCGATGTGCGTTTGTCACCATCGTCTGCCCGCGAAGCCATGACTACAGCCCCGCCCCCGGAGGCCCGTTTTCACCTGTTTCGCCAACCTTTGAGCCAAGAGAACGAGAGCCAAGAGAACGAGAGCAACGCCGGCATGGCGCGCAACGTCTACGAAGCCGACTCGAGCTCGCACCTTAACGGGCAGCATGGCAATCATGATCGTCCTAGCGATCCTGCTCAGGGCCACCCCGCTTTTGGGCCAGCCCCTGACTGGGATGGTCCGTTCCTCGGCCGTCACCACGGCTTTGCTGGCCAAGGTCCTCACCACGGTCCTCACCACGGCCACCATGGCTTTGGGCATCATGGCTTTGGTTTTGGGTTTGGTTTTGGTGGTTGTGGTCGCGGCCGTGGCGGCTTTGGTCGCGGTCGTGGCTTTGGTGGTTTTGGTCGTGGTCGCGGCGGTTTTGGCGGCCGTGGGAATGACTTTTCTGCGGACGAGCTCCAGCAGCCGAGCCACTCACCGCACCGTCAGGGTGGAGAAAGGTTCGAGGCCCTGCTCAATCGCATGGGGCCGGAAGCTCGCGTAGAGCATCGAACCGCCAAGCTGCAGCGGCTTGAGGCCCGAGCGGCTCAGTTGCGTGCTGCCTTGGAGGCCGATGAAGCAGCCGTGGCGCAGTCGCGCCCCGTGCCCATCGTGTGCAAGATCAATGAAACCGCCCTTCAAGAGTGTATGGCTGCATCAGCCAGCCCTCAGCAAGGTTCAGCCTTGCCTGGCGCCCGCGCCGCCACCGCCGCCACCCCAGCCACCCCAGCCGAGGCGCATGAGAATGCGCACGAGGAGGCCTCCTCTTCAAGCGATGAGTGGGTATGCGTGGATGAGCTTTTGAGCGACGAGGAAAACGAGGAGAACAATGTCACCGCTATCGACCACGCTGAGCTTCCGCAGGCCGTGTTGAAGACTGGCCAGCGTGTTGTCATCAAGTCTGGCCTGAATGGCCAGCTTCTCGTCTGCAACCCTGATGGTACCCTCACCGCTGCCACCAATGCTTGGGCCGAGGCTGCCGTGTTCTGCGTCACTGCCCACTCGGACTCTGTTGAAGACCGTTTGGTGGTGCAGCTCCGCGTGATGAACAGCGGCAGCTCTGGATTTTTGCGTGCAGCGCCTTGGAGCCAGCATGCTGACGTCAATGGCTCTGGAGGCCGGTTTACCCGTTTGATTGTGGAGCCTCGTGACGGGGTCATGATCGCGCTCGCTTCGGAAGCGCTTGCTGGCTGTCATCTGGCCGTTGCCGAAGACGGACAAGTCATTCATCTCAAGCAGATGCCATTGCACTTGGGTACAGAATTTCTGCTCATTCCCTTGGCTGAGGCTGCCGAGTAGGCTTTTGCTCCTCGCGCCCCTCCACGATGACTTGTGTGTGTTTAAGAAACACACAAGCACTCGTGCCTCTTCCTGTTTGATGTGGTCCTGTGAGCGTGCTTGTTTGCGTGTGTGTTGTATCGGGTGCGTGCGTGTGCGTGCCCCTTTTTGAGGTGTGCAGTTGCCTTGGCTCTAGCTGAGGTGACTCAAGTGGTGGCTGTCGCCGTCTGTGCGTAATTCTCGGATATACTCTGCGCGCTAGCCAAGGATCGCTTTGTTGATCGATCTTCTCTTCTGCTGGCACGTACGTATGTTATCTTCATTACGTTTTTTACAGCTGCATGCCTGATCTTGTCCGTCTCCCTCTTGGCGCCCTGAACCCATTTTTTGGACGCGCGTTGATGCCTTTTCGACTCTCTTCTTGAAGTCTTAAAATTGATCTCAAAGTTCCAATTGTGTCACAAGATTGTGTAATATTTTCATGGATTTCAACTCTCACCTCATTTACATGTATAAAAAAAAAATGACAGCAAGATGATCAGGATCGAATGCTTGATTTGCGCGGCACAGCCGCAGACACAGCTTGCTGACCCAAAATCTGTCCAGCAGTTCAATCATAATTTCCCAAACCCTGGCGGCGCGGGCGCCGGACAGCTTGAATCGGGGCCACAATGCCATTGCGCGTAGCGCCCAACCCGGTGCCAGGCGTCCACCCCATGCCGGTTAACACTGCAGATGGGGAAAGGGGTAAAAAAGACATCCAGACCAGTCAATCAAAAAACCACAACCAAAACCGTCGGCCCGGTCGCAATCAGCGAGGCGCACTTTGACCGTGGCTGCTTACATCGGTGTCCTAGGTTGCTTGCGGTCAGGCTCGCCTCTGCATCGGCAGATGCGCTTGGTTGAGGGGCAGCAGAGGCATAGGCGGCGTGCATGGTATTGGGAGCAGATGCCCGACCAAGCAGGGACTGCATGGCTGCTGCTCCACCACCAGCGGACCACGATCGCCACTGTTGCTGGCAGATGCCATAAGCCGCCTTGGATCCAAGCAGATTGGTGAGCAAAGACAGGGTATATAGGCGCCATTCGCCGATGCACGAGGGCATTGGGCGACATCAGCATGCGTACCTCGGGTGGCAGTCCTGTTGCGGCCGTTTTGGACAATATTGGGGCTTTCAACGATCCTTGACCACGACTGTGGCTGCGAAGGCCAAAGGTCTATCCAGGGTCAACATCATAAAGTACCAGGGGCACAAAGGTCGTGAGAGAGAGAGAGAGAGAGAGAGAGAGAAAGGAGGAGGAGGAGAAGGAGGACGACGCATGTCGTGTTTTGATAGACATGATGGCGCACCCGCCTCAACTTTGCGCCTAACCTTGGCAATACCATGGATACGGCACCGATCGCGGCGGGTCATGGTGGAAAAACGGAGCGATTTGAGCGTACCATCCTGCACAAACTTCACATTCGGGTCAAAGATGAGCTGGCTGCTGATACCCCAAATTTAAACTTCAGGCTCATTGAGGCTGGTGCACCGACAAACACGACAAAGCAGACAGCTCAACAACAACAACAACAACAACAACAACAACAACAACAACAACAACAACAACAAAAAAAAAAAAAAAAAAAAAAAAAAAAACCAAGAAAAGAACGCTGCTTGCTCTGACCTCAATCAATGCTTGCCAGACGAGTTCAAAGCTGTGGTCAGGGTTGCCTGAGCGCTCGACTCGGCGCTGCGAAAGTTCAAACAGGGACGCGCACACGAGTTAGCGCAAAACTTTCTTCTCTCAATCAACTCGCATGGCGCCGCGTGGCTCGGGCAAATGTTCGTGATCAGCCTTGTAGGGCCCTCTCGTCTTACCACGGGCGGAGCACTGTTGTCATTTTTGCTGGGATAACGACCAAATTTAAGCCGTGAGTACAGAAAATGCAATCAAAATGCCGGTCGCAATGCCTGTTCTCTGGCGCTACGTTCTCAGTCGCCGGATGCGTACCGGTGCAATTGGCCATCGATAAACATGGCTGAGGTGCATTCAGGTTTGACCATGGGTGCCTAGCATGCATGCCCACGATGAATGAGAAAAGAAAAGAATATACACCAAGTTTGCCATCTCGTGTCGTGCACAAAGTTGCAGGGGTGTGACAACGAAACAAAATGACGTCGCCAAGGCCGCATACCACCGAGCCCGCATCCGTTTCGCAACTTGATTCATCGGCATCACCACCCGATTCGCCGCTCTCGCCCATACTGTCATCGTTCTGGGGGGTGCGCATGGCGTCTATCGTCCATTGCGTATGGGACATGTCAAGGTGTACCAAGGCAAGGCTACTTTGAGCACAGTTGCTGGGGACACCACACACAGAGCGAGCGACAGGCACGCAAAAAAGCTAGGAAGGTGGATGGAGCGACCTTGATGCATCGAGCGTCCACGCAGGCGTCCCGCGTCTGCAGTTGGCGTCAGTGTGGCCCGCAGCGCAAAAATCATAGACTCAAGCTCAGCTGTATACTGCAGGACCTGCTGCATCAGGACAGGCGGCAGTTGCCGCGATGTTTCAGGGCTATCTGTAAATAGTCAATGTCATATCGCGGTGAGAATCATGCCCTTTGGTTCACCTAATACTCAAGGTTTAGTCTGATATTCCTTTGCTCTGTCCTCTGACCTTTGGAGGCTAGCACCAAGAGGCTTTGCCCAATGCTCTGCACCTTGGCTCCGATATGTCGCAAATCTCGCGATGGGGGCTATGGCAAGGCGCAAGGCGGAGCCCACCACGTGCAAGAAGTGAGCAGAAGATGCTTGTCATGGAGCTCCGACAAGTGCTGAGAGAGTAGACAATGAACACACTAAGCTGGGTGATCGAGTCGAATGTTGCCGGTCTGGTAGCCAGGACCCCGTGGCCTGCGGGCAAGGTCAAAGAGGGGTTTGAGCCTGTGTGCTAGAGTGCCCCCCCTTTTTTTTCCAAAAGGAAACGAGGCGCAGACCACAACCCCATCCTACGTTTTGTGTATCATCGCTGGTGATGGCAGAGATGAAATTGATTCGGGGAGGCTGTCCACGTCTATGCCATGAAACCACGTATGAGGTTGAGATTGCCGCCGAATTCAGAGTTCGGGCGGTCAAGAGGCAGCTGTTTTATGAGTCAAGCAAGGCTCTTGGCTTACGCCGGTGACTTTGTACGTCGAGGGGGCGGGGTTGGCTCACGAAAGACGTGGGTAGGAGCGGCAAAGTCTACCCCCCGCATGAGTTCTGACACGCTTTCAAGCATTTCACTCGTGGAAACATCGCTGGCATTGCGTTGGTAGTCCTCGGCCAATGCATTTGCCTCGCCTGCGGCATTTCGCATCGGTTCGTGCGGGTGAAACGCACAAGCAGCTGCGTGGGTTGGCATAACAGGGGCCCGAGCATCATACTTTCAGAGTCATCCAATTCGTCGGCATTGACTGAGGCAGCCAAGCAAGCCATGGTGCCGATTAGGGGTATGCACAAGAGTATGAGTCAGCCGAGACCAGGCCCAACCCCATGCCCACAGAGGCCTGAACTCTGATGACATCGCGTGGGCTCCATGCGACTCAGCTTACGCCATTCCGCTGGTAGAGACTCTTTGCATGCTAGGTTGCGCTTGGGCGGGCGTCTATGTATGCACAGCAATAACCCACGACAGCAATGAAGGTTGATCAGCCCAGGTCATGACGCTTCATTGGATCCTTGGCAGATCAAGTGGTGTTTGACCGCTGACGCGCGACGCAGCTCCATGGCCTCACCGCTTGGAGCGCTTGGCACGATTGCTGCCGTGCCGTCCACGGACGTGTCGCTTGGCTGGTGGCATTTCTGCCGCCCCCTCGACTCACGCGTGTCTGCCGTGCTCTTCCCACAACACCCTTCTCCCCTGACCTCACTCACTCACTCTCACTCACTCACTCTCACTCACTCTCACCAAAGCCCGCTCTCTCTCTCGCTCTTTTCCCCGCTTCGTTCCGTTTCGTATGATTTGTTTGAGAAAAAATGGTTCAAATGTCAGAAAAAAAGCAGAACGACCTTGTTTTTGGTGTTTGTGTCAAATTTTTTTTTTTTTATCGATCAAAGTGTCTCTCGTTGGCGTTGATGGTGGTCTGGGGCTCACGTTCCTGGCAGTGAAGTAGAGTGACGGTATTGGGAATTGTGCTTGGGCCAGCTTTGTAACAGCTTTGTGCCCGTCTTGGGAAGGGCTTTGGTTGTGTGTCAGCGTGTCGGGCATCACTGCTGAAACGGACCAAACATGGCCAAGGTGGAGCGACTCGGTCCCAGCCGCTTGCAATGGACTGTCCCGCTGCGTGATGGAAACCACACGATTGTAGGTTATGGTATCCATGGTCGTGCAACAGGACATCAACGCTGCCCTCGCGCGACTGAATGCTGCGTGTCAGCTCAATGACCCACGCCTTGATGGCAGGTGTTTGAACATGGTACAACGAGCGGGCGGCGTGTGATTCACGTGGACGGCAAGGAAATTTTTCGCAAGGTCTGCTCGGCCATGTATCTTCAGGGTCTCGGTGTCACAAACTTCAAAGTTTTCCTCTGCCTTGATCACAGCCAGGCTCATGCTGGTTGTGGTGCATAAACTCTGGCCGCCTCGGTTCGGGTTGCTCTCAGAACTGGATGTTCAAGTTGGTTGGTGCAGAGGAATTTACTTTTGGGCGTGGTTCAGACCAGCACACTGGCGTCTTGAGCATTCGTACACAAGGTCTACGCTACGAGTACGTTGTGCATCCAGGTGGACGTTTATACCTTTTCAAAGCTCGTGCAATCCTTCCTGACCTGGGCGGGGACCCGTCCTTGAATGCGCGCGCGTGTTGTTCTAGATATGCCTTGCATATCGATGGCAAAGCAGCGGGTGACTTTGCCGATACAGTTGCCAACTCAACCATTTTGTGGCGGGCCATTGTGGCTGGCGAAGAACACAGTATATCGCTAGGTTCGATCTTGGATCGCTACCGCCTGTTCTAGGTCGTGCCATGTTTTATCTTGGGCTGGCACTGATCCATCAACCTGGTCTTCCCACTCTTAGATGTCGAGCTGATGGAGGTCTATGTCGACGGTGAGAGGGTGGCCACAGAGGGTGGGTTTGCAGACGACGGCACTGAGACCAACTTTGCAATTGGTGCCACTGAAGCCTATATTCTCACCACCAATCAAACAAGTGCCAAGGGCATTTCGCACCATCTCTTCGTTGACGAGGAAGAGGTGGCTCCTGAATCGGGCAACCGTACTGGGAATGATTCAGCGTCTCAGGTGGGCTGGCGAGGTGGCAAGGTCTGATTGCATAAGCCTTTTCGACCCCATCTGCCCATATGTTAAGAAGGACACGTGCCCAAAGGTCCAGCTCGGCTGACAATGGGCTTCGCAGAGTGATTCTCTGGCGGACAGTCAATTGATACCCAGCGTACGGTCTTTGCTGATGCACATGGGCCAGATCCACTGTACTCCCAGGGCAGGCACTGCCGGGCTTGATTTTGTCTCGTCGCAGACGAGATGTGCGCTTGGACGGCGCACTCAATTTGCACCTGTCCACTCGATGGACATGTAGCTTATCGTGCCGCGATCCACATCAACCGAACATAAAACGGGGGCCTTTTTCACCACTGTGCCCAGCCGACCAAGGGCCAATACATCCATGGGTGAAATGGATGCGGTGTGCGGCACCACGCGCGCCACAAAGTGCGAATGGTAGCGATAGGGATCACCTACAAGAGAGAGAGAGGGAGAGAGAGGTACAAAGAGATTGTTCGCGTGAGATGGTCAGTTGATGCCTGTCAAGGATGATCGTCGTGCAGGCGAGCGCAGACCTGGGTACACAAGATAGTCGCCTCCAAATTTGATGCCCGAAGTCAGATAGTAGCCACGCTGCACGAGATCGTGATAAACCATCTCCCGGCGGCGTTGTTGGGCAGTGGTTGGAAACGCCAAAGCAGCACGGGGGAGGGATTCCAGCCGCGATGCCGTGGGCAAGCGAGGAATCATAAAGCGCACCGAATCCACTGCCTATGACAACGCCCCCAGGCAATGCAGCGGAACAAAGAATAAGCATGCGCGCGAATGTATTTATAAGCGAGTGTTGCTGCCAAGAGCCGGGAAACAGCGCACGGGGAAACATGTCCGACGGTAACAACGACAGACGCGAGCCCATAACACAACGGGTAGTTGGCTTCTTACCTTGAGTGCGCTGCGCTTGAGACTGCTCCATGTGGTATTGGGGTCAGAGGTGGCCAGCTCCTGTCGTGATAAATCCGGCAGCTTAACTTGCTCGCGCATAGCCTCAATCATCTGCCGCCCACGCCCCGCCCAAGGAAACTACAGGCAGGCAAGGTGCAGTTTATTCCAGAAAGGTCATAAATGGATGCGGGTTCGAATGGGATCAATCATGGCGACTCATGCGCCGCGGCTACCTTGAGCCAGCGTAGAATGTCAGCACGGTTCAGACGCCACGGTAGAATGGTGCGTGGTAAGTCAGGATCAGCACGCTTGGAGCGCTTGGCGCGTTTGGCGCGCTTCGGCACAGGCTCAGCCTGGTCTTTGACAGACATGTCGGCGATCGATTCATCCTGATCGTCCGATCCCTCCCCGTCGAGAGTTGTGGTTGGGGTCTCATTATCGGCAACAACAAGTGTGGCATCATCGCTGCCCGGTTCGTTGCTTGCGATGGGCTTGAGTGAAGCTTCGGATGCCGGATCAGCCGTCGAGAGCTCGCTGGTACTACAGTAGTGCTCCATCTAAAGAGGACAAGAGGAGAATAAAGAAAAGATGAACGATTGTCACTCTGCCATTGAACAAAGTCCTACTTTCTCAAAAACAGACCTGAAGCATCACGCTGTCCAAGCGCTGTTCTCGCACGTGCTGAATCAATTCCGGCTCGGGCGGCTGGTAAGCTTCGCCGTCATACAGCTCAATGGCACCTAAGCAAGTGGCGACCACACATCAGCTTGATCTGGGCGAATGCCTCACATTCCCTGGACTCTCCTCCATGTCACCCAACCTGACGACTCATTGCCCAGCCTTCCTCATGTATGAATCGCCATGCATTCTGATTGAGGATGTGGAGCAGCGTCTCACCATGGGCTAGCAGCAAGGTCACGGCCTCAGGCTCGAGTTGATAGGGAGGCCCATGGAACCCATTCTGCATTCTAAGAGTACAGAGCGACACGTGGCCAGGGGTCAGTTCACCGACCGGGGTGTGTGCCTTTCGCCTTCGATAATCCCATCATGTCCAACCCACCCCCTCCCACTGGTATTCAGGGTTCTTCCGGCCAAAAGATGCATCATTGATCGAGCAGTGAGCCAAGAGCGTACACGTGATTGACGAGCGTGCCGAGGGGTTGCGGAACAAGGTGCCATTGTGCGCGTAGATACTTCTCCTCTGCAGGCTCCCAGACAAGAACGTTGCCCCGAGTCAAATACCCACGCACCACCTGCTGCACTGCCTCTTCCCCACGCCATATCCTGCGCAGAGCCGGGGGCGCCACCACGCCCGCCGTGGCACTCGTTCCGGTCCCCATCAAACCATCTGCCATCTCTTCACGCTGCAGCAGAAAAAAGCTGACATTCCTTCTCCCTGATGTTTGCCCTGTGCAAATTTGGTGTTCGTCACTGCTTTCGGGGCTGTGTCTTTCTCTTCTCGCGTTGGTGTGTGTGGGGCGGCGGTGTCGGGCGGTGGCAGCCCACACACACGCTGGCGCGCTCACACGCGCACGCACGCACACTCTTATACAGAGAGCAAGAGGGAGAACGAGAACGGTAATGTGGGTGAGGCCTCGACACGCACACAAGCCCCACCCACCCATCCACATACAGGTCTGCAGCTACACAAGGCGGGCGCGTGCTCGCTCAACTGGGCACAGATCTGTGTGCTTGTCCCTGTGTGGTTGTGCATGCGCATGTGCATTTGAGTATGCGAGCGTGTCTGCTTCATTTATAGGTTGGTTTCGCCTGTGTCCGCAGGTAGGCACTCGCACGGCATGAGGGGCAGGCACATCGACGATAGGAGCAGTCCCCTCCTCGTGCAACGCATGTCATTGCTGCACTGACCCGTCGCGTCTCTGTCGCTACGGACGCGTAGTGCCTGCATCGCTTTTGAGCAGGTCGAGGCGAGGTTCACCGCGCGAACCTCAACAAAGTGCTGCCTGCTGCCTGCTGCCTGCTGCCAGCCCCACTTGCACGAAGGAGCTGCTCAGCCAACCTTCCACCTGCCGGCTGAACTGCAGGTCCCCCTACCTTGATCAGACGGACTATTTTTGCGCTCCACGCATTGACATTCGGCCTAATTTACCAATATGTCAACTTGCGGCCATCTCCGCAGGTAGGCTCAAACAGGCACTTTGCGTCTGCCCAGATGCTTGCGTTCGCGCCAAACTCATCCTGGCGGCCTGGCCCGGCCCTCCTCTGTACCTGTACATTGGCTCGATGCTTTACCCAGCCGAAAACTGACCGTGGCACCGTCTTCGGTTCAGCAAGCGCTTCTGCAACCCGAGGCATGGGCCTGTGCCGAGTGTGGTACAACCTCCTCTTTATGGGCCTGCCTTATCTGTGGTCACATCGGGTGCGGACGTTATGATGAAGGTCATGCCCTGACCCATCGGAAGCAGACCGATCATGGCATTGTATTTGACATTAGCCAGCGCACAGTGTATTGGTATGTGCACAGCCTAGCAAGACCTCTGCATCAGTGCTGACTTGACGATTTCGCATCGTCGCCACTTGTCTCATGTCACGTGCCTCGGGTATATTTGATCTTCTCCGCAGCTACCAATGCGAGGATTGGATTCTGAATGCAGATCAGCATCAAGGCATTCGTCGCCTTCGCGAGGCACTTGAGGAACTGCATGTCCGTTTGTTCAAAGTCCTTCCCTCCGATTTGAGCTGGTGCTGGGTGCAATCATCTCTGTGTTGTGTAGGCCCCATCCCACCTCATCCTCTCGCCACCCTTCCCCGAACCAGACCCAGTACTCAGGCGTGCGCAAGCTGCGTTCCGGACGTGTCGTGCGCACTGATCCTGACGCTGGACTGCCGCTGGTACGTATAGATACATGCATCTGGTGCTTGCAAGATTCTTCCAGCCGCCTGTTATTCACAAAGATCATTTGTTGCCATTTTGAATACATTGTACTCCCAACAGCGCACAGGCGTTTATGCGGACTCGGACCGCACAGCTACAGCCCAGCGCCACTTTGAAAACAGCTTGCTGGCAAAAGTGCTCATGGCCTGGCACAAGCACGCCGCCGCTACCCGCACAAGCAGCGCCAACAACTCTGGGAGGCCTTTAGCGAGTACCTCTGCTTCGCCGGCGTTTCGACGGCTCAGTGCTGCCAATCGCACCTCTCTCCACAGCCTCGCTCATACTAACAAGGTAGATAAATTACATTTGAGGCAGCAAGTCGCACTGTCTCTGCATCAGCTTCAAGCCTTGCCAAGCTGTTGTGCATGGCCGTGGTGGCTTGTACCACTCTCATATCAGGATGTTGGTTGGGGTCATCTGCGGGGATTGCGGGGACAGTCTAATAAACCCCTCTCAAAGCAGCCAGGCATGACCGGCTTGCGTAACCTGGGTCAAACCTGCTACATGAACGCGGTTCTTCAGGTACGCACAACCGCGGTTTTTGTTGTGGTTCCATAACACGATGCTTTGATCTGCATCGTTGTGTCACTCATCGCCGTTTACTCCCTCAGGCGTATGCTCACGTGGACATTATTCGGCGCCTGCTGTACGAGCTTGTCCTTTCTGGTGCATTTGCATCCGTGGTATGCCCTGCTGGTACAGTTGCCATCTCATACGGGTGAGGATGCTCGTGCGACAGTCTCCTCACTCCGTTGAATCTGAAAAATGGTGCTTGTCACAGGGTGCAACGAGCGGTACATCGCCTTCCGTGGCGACCCGCCCTATTCACAAGATCGAGCGTCAACCCACAGTCCAGGTTCACGAGTTGATGGAAGCACCACAAGTTTCCCTGCAGTCTCACCGACGAAATGCCCGCAAGAAGCCCAAAGGTCGGTTTTTTTCTTACCAGCTGTAACAGCCTGAAGCAACCATGGCCTTCGCTTTATTCTGGCATCCGACCGGCCCGATGGTCCTGTGCGGAAACAGACTTGACCCACGCTGCTCATATGCCCGTTGCGGATTCCGTTAATTTTTTTTTTCTGATTTTTTTTCTTTTTTTCTTTTCATGTGATAGTCGATGCAGACACAACAGATTTGGACAAGCCCTTTGTTTATTTGATCGAGTCACTTTTTCGCGTCCTCTGGTCGGGCCGTTGGGTCCTCGTGACCCCAAACTGGTTGCTGGCCACTGTGTGGAAGCGTGTTCCACAATTTCAAGGTTTCATGCAGCAAGACGCCCACGAATTTCTGATGACCCTGGATGAGCGTATCATGACCGAGCTTGAACAGGTATGGTGGCTTTGACTGCTGCGCGAACATGTACGCTTTTTTTTGAACTGCTCATGACCTGGTATGGTATTCTCTGTCGGGTCGATCAGGTGCGGTCACATTTGACAAAGACAGGAGGTGGGGTACCTGCCATTCTAGAGCATTTTGAGTCCATTTTTTTGGGCCGAGTGCGCTCGACCATCGTGTGTGGCCACTGCCAGCATGCCAGTGAAGCCGAGCAGGATTTGGGCTGTTTATCGCTCAGCGTAGATGTGGATCAAGGTGCGTGCGTGACAGCTGGCTGCAAGTCAACCCAGCCAGCTTGCCATGTGTTTGTTTTCCCGTCTCACACATCTCACTCTTCCCATCTGCGGGCATCGCGTAGGCAACAACTTGCAGCTCGAGGATTTGTTGCACAATGAGTTTTTAGGTGTAGATCTCCTCCAAGATGCCTACAAGTACGTGACAATTCCGTTGAGCCCATTGCAGGCTGAGCCGAGCCATATTCGGCGGATGCTATTGGCGGCACAGCAAATCGGTCCCTTGTCAATGCTCGCTGAAGTGCGCTTCGTGCAGAATCACACACTTGTTGCACGGAATGACCTTGCTGGATAGATGTAAGGCCTGCTCATTCAAGCAGCGGCGACTTTCTCGGCGCTTGAGTCAACCACACTTTGAGTCGACCGGCACTCCCACCTCGCGTGTTTCTGCTGAGCGCACTGGAAGCAATGCTGGTGCCCGCCGCGTTGGTTTGACCCGCGGTGAAGCTGGTGTTGAGTCAGTCTTGCCGGCGGGCTCCACCGAAGCATCGCCACGACGAGCTCGCGCGACTGCCGAGGATGGCACACCGCACACTCCAGCGATGCGCACGAGCCAGTCGGTAACAGGTCTGGGCTCTACCATGGCAGCCGTGACGACGACACGCAACGCTCAAAAGTACACAAGACTCATCAGCGCGCCGCAAGTTCTCAAAATACATTTGAAGCGCTTTCGCTGGCAGCAAACGGACCGATGCAAGCTCCAGTACCATGTTGCCTGCCCCTTGGTGCTGGACCTGAGTCCATACTTGGCTGCAGATCACGAGGGCACCCCAAAGCCCATTGCCTCGCGTGGCACGGCGCTTTACGACTTGATGGCTATGGTTGTGCACGAAGGCAGCAGTTTGACGGCGGGTCATTACAAGGCTTTGGTGTACAATCCTACAATAGGCGCTTGGGTGGTCAAGAACGATGCTCGTGTTAGCGTGACGACGGCTGAGGATGTGCTCGAGCGTCAAGCCTACATCCTGTTTTATGTTCAACGGCAAGCCAATAAGAGTGCACGCTACGACCTCTCTAATGTACCTCCAACCCCAGCGCCCAAGCTGGGCTAAAAGAGGCTGGCATCCTGTCTAATTGAGACCTGATTGACTGCAAAGCCTTTTCCGGTTGCGCGAAGCTGGCGAGGCAGGATGACTGCCAAGCAAAGCCCTGGAACAATATGGTTCAGGGGGGAGGGCGTTGAAACCAAAATGTCCATAAAATTTTTTTCATCAGCGATCAAGGAGCAAAAACAAATTGTCATGCATTTTGGTGTGTCAAGAATATTATCATTCACTTGGGTACGACAGTTGGCCCGTTCTGGTCGGTGTTGCCGGTTTTGGATCGCGGGTTTAAGACCCCACCCAGAGCAGGCCGATTCAGGGCTGGCGCCCGCAGGCGCAGTGGCCTGCATGAGACTGACCGACTGGCCGACTGACCGACTGACCGACTGACCGACTGACCGACTGACCGACTGACCGACTGACCGACTGACCGACTGACCGCTTTTTTTTTTTTTTTTTTTTTTTTTTTTTTGGCTGATACAGCCTACAAGCATGGCCGCTGCACTGGATTGCATCGTGCCGAGTTGCACCTGCCTGTGTGAGGCAGGCTACTGGCTGGCTGCGGGGTTGGCCCTGTTCTGGGCGCTGCGATTTTTGACCAAACGGGTTTTCCGGCTGTGGCCGGCGCGCCGGGTATCGTTGCCTAGAGGGTCCCATGTTGTGGTTGTCGGTGGTGGCATTGCAGGCTGCTCGGCTGCGTTTGCACTTGCCCGCAGTGGTTACCGCGTGAGCCTCGTGGAAAAGGAAGAGCGCGTCGGTGGCAACGCCAAGGTCCATGACTGGCCCAATGGCGTTCGCACAGGTATGCGTGCGCGTGATGTATCTTGGGATATATTTGAAAAAGAGATCAGCGAGGCTTGCTTCATTCCCATTGACCCACTCGGCCGCTTCGCGAAATCGGCAGGTCTTTCGGTGTTGGCCTGGCCTCCAAAATATTTTCGAAATTACGAGGCACTGCTGGACCTGCTGGGTATCGAGCGTGAACCCGTGACGCTGCCCTTTTACATCCGTACACCTCGCGGTCGGTTAATGGCTACCATGAGATGGAGATTTGGTCATGCTGCTCAAGACAACGATCTCGCGCATGGCTCACCCTCATGAACGGCCGCCGCGTAAACAGGCGATTTCGCCCATGCCAGCACAGATTTGGGATTGAACAAAGCCTATCGCTGTGACTTGCAACGTTGGGGTCGCTTGGTGGCTCTGGTGCGCTGGGTCTCAACGCTATGCAATGGCACCGACATGCCGTCGCTCTACCATTTTAGCGTCCTCAATCCGTTCAACCTTATTACGCTGCGCGCGGCCGTGTGGCTCGCGGGCATCTCTACCGAGTTTTATGAGGATGTCATTGTTCCCATCTATTCATCTAGCTTTCTTACAACCCAGATTGACCGTGTTCCTGCCATCATTCTTCCCGGTATGCTCGAGCACCATGCAGTGTGGCTCTTGCTGGCATCCTCTCAGCTACAGCTTTGGGGGGGTGCTTGTGAGGAAGCCGGTCGATCTGAGCGGCCCGTCGAGATGAGATTGCTCAGTTCAACGCGCGTTCACAGCTCCCGTGTCTGCCTTGTTCGTCTATTCGTAGCTATTGATGACCTGATTCCGCTGAATAGCAAGCCACAGATGCTTTCATGGCAGCACGATAGCTCCCTGGTCTTTCGTGCGCTGCTGCGCGATGTACAAGTGTACACGGGCTGCGTAGTGGTGGCCCATGCCTTGTGCCCCGATGGTGGGCATCGTATCACGCTCTCACAGGGCACTGTCCTGGATGCCTCAGCGGTGGTGTACGCTTGTAATGCCCAGGCCGCCGCAGCCTGTCTACCAACCGAACATGCGGGCACAGCACGCCTACTGCGAGGTGTGGCCTATGCCGACGAAGACTGCGAGGCCTTTGAGCGGGGCTTCATTCACTCGGATGAGTCAGTGCTACCAGCTGATATCCGGGAGCGAATCAAAGCCGGTCGTTTTGCCAATTTTGTCGAGATGTCAGAGCAAGCGCCCGGCCAGCCGCGTCGATGCACCAACACCTTCATTATTGGCTCCTGGTATCGGGCCGCCTATCACGCGCGCTCGGAGCTCCCGATGATGGTTACCTACAATCGCGACATCCCGCCCAAGGGCGTGCTGGGTGAAGTGCGCAATGAGCGCAATCATCCTCACCTCCACCTGGCCAACTTGACGCGCTCGCTGGCGTTGCGATTTTTCCAAGGGCGCGACCACACGTACTTTTGTGGATCATACTCCACCCCCGGCAACGGCCACGACCTGTCCCTGATTTCGGGTTTCCTCGTCGCTCGTGCGTTGGGAGCCGACTATCCACTTGCGCACGTCCCTGCTGCGGAAGAGGATTTCGAACGACTCGCCACACTGACGGGGCTCTTTTAAACCTTGCCTAACCACAATTTCTTTGTCCTCCAAAATTAAATTTACGAAAATGGAAATCAGTCGACCTTAACGACGCGTCTCTTTCATGTCTCTCTCTCTTTCGGTCTTGCTCTGATACCTTTCAATTCTCCCACACGCATGTCATTGCCATCGCCGCCTTCCTCGGTTTCGGGCTGCCCTCACCCCGTGCCCCGGCGCTGACCACGGCGCCAAGTGGGTGCCGTTGTTGTTGTTAAAGCCGTGCTGAGCCATTTCTTCACAAGTTTTGCTGGCCAGCCTCTTTGGTTCGGGTGCGTGGTGTGTTGCATGAGCAGTTGCAGCCGTCAGTCGTGTTGCTAATCGTGCTTGGTTGCCGTGTTCGCTCTTGCCCTCTCTCGCTGCGGGCGAGCCTTGACAGCGGTATTGCTTGATAGCTCACCACAACTTGATGGTTCGGCTTGTCGCTCTGCCCTATGATTAGGTGGCTACGCCGCGCCGACCTCCCAAAGGCATCGAACACAAATTGCAGTCTGATCGCCAGGGTCCAAGCACCATGGACACATCCCAGCTCACGGGTGCGACTTGCCAGCCCAGCCCAAAGACGCTGCCCCGGTCGCATGTTTCCGAAGCGCGTGCCCATGACTGCTTCTTCTCACCCCTATCCTCTCTGCTTTGCGTTGTAATCTAAATCTAGTTGATCACCAAGCACCTTCGCTGAGTGCGTCCAACATCGACAGTTCGGATACCGGTGTGTTCGATGCGTGCCCTCGTTCAACCCTTTTGCAGTCAAGACGGCGTCGGCTGCTTGGTGCGACAGGTTGCACACAGTTCGATAAACCTCACGTTCATGTCTATGCCTTGGGCTATAGCTCATATCCTGACACCAGAGGATGCTGCCGAGGCCGTCAATCCCCTCCACTATGCAGCTGCCATTGGTGACATCAAAACAGTCACCAAGATCTTGACCGGCAAGCATCGAATCCATTCCGCGCGACGTGGTGGTTCTCGCAAAGTTAAGGTAAGAAAAAGAGAAGCAAAGCAGATGTGTTGGCCCTAGCCACCCTGTTGATCCATGGGACCGACTGGAGTCGGTGTCTCTTCCCGTCCTACCTTGCATTTGAGCTGACCTATTTTCCATCGGCTCTGGGTGACCGACTTCATGTAGATCCCGGTCAATGACCGCGATGCCTTGGGCCGAACACCTCTCGTGTACGCGGTCGTGGGCAATGATCTTGCTTGCTGCGAACATTTGGTCCGCAAAGGGGCTGATGTGAACGCACCAGGTCTGATGACGCACGCCACTAGCTTGTCGGTACCTGGCAAGCCCCATGAAGGCGATCGCGTCTGGGCTCATGGCCAACTTGTATTGGTGCAAATGTGTAGACAACGAGGGCAAGGTTGCACTTCACTGGGCTTGCATGCAGGCCGATCCAAATATGCTTGCCTTTTTACTGCAGTGTGGTGCTGATCCAACCATCGTGGTATGGGGCCGCCTTCCCAGCATGCATGTGCATCAATTGTCATTCGCTTCAGCAAACGCTCGAGCACCAGTTGATCGTGGCACTTTGTTTGTTGCGTTGTAGGATTCGGCCCAGCGCAGCGTGTTTCACTTTACCGTCAGCAGCTCGACAGTGGCCTGCATGCAGTACTTGCTGCAAGCATTCCCCGACTTGGCACCAACGCTTGAGAGCTTTGATGAGTATGGCATGACGCCCCTGCACTGGGCATGCTACCACAATGCTATTGAACACGTGGCCTTGCTGCTACAGAGTTATCGCGTACACTTTCTTGTGGGTGACAGCGAGGGCAAGCTGCCTTTGCACTGGGCTGCGACGGGGGGCCATATCGAGTGCTTCAACTTTTGCTTGCAGCACTGGGTTGACGTTGACAGCCGGCATCCAGATGAGCAGGCCATTCAATTTGATATCCTCAATGCCCCTGATTCGCAAGGTCGCACCTGCCTGCACGTCGCCGTGGCTTCGCTTCACGAACAAATGGTCCAATATCTGCTGCAAGCCCCGGACTTGCAGCTTCAGGTGGTATGTGTGACATATCTTATATAGTACACGTTTATCCCTGGCCACTCCTCCCAGTCTTGTTTTTGCTCCCCGGTCTCCTACCATCATGCCCTTACTTGTGTCCCCATGCTGGCCTAATGGTACCTGTACTGTGGCTCAAATGCACAGGACGAGGCCGGGCGCACAGTCGTCCATTGGGCGGCTCACGTTGGATCAGCGAATATGTGTCACATGCTCCTCCAACGTGGCGGTACTTCCTTGGCCATGCAGCCTGACTACGCTGGATACACCCCGCTCCAGTATGCCATCAACGAGCAGCACGATCAAGTTGTGCAGGTTTGTTGCCCCAAGAATCTGCTATTCCGTTTTCTTCTATTCCTTCAGATCCTTTGCTTGACATCAAGTCTCATACTTTTGGCACATGACGTGGGATGCGATTGTAGTATTTGCTCGAGCTCGACAATGTTCAGGACACTGCCGATGGGGATGGCCGCAGTGGTTTGATGCTCGCTTTGAGTGGGGGTAATATGAACGTCATTGCTGCCCTCTTACATTCCAGCAAGGTACGTCTTGAATGCCTCAACGACCAGCGAGACTAGCTGTGACACCAATTCACTTACACACCAATGTATTGCGTGCTGCAGTGCAATGTCAATCAGCAAGATACGGGAGGCAACTCTGCACTGCACATGGCGGCGTACTACGGCGCGTTGGACATTTGTGATCTGCTCCTGAGGGCGGGTGCCAACCCCAATTTGCAGGATGAGAACCATCAGCCACCGCTCTTTTACGCCGTGTCGGAGGGCCATACCGAAGTCACGCGGCTTTTGCTGGAAAGTAAAGCAGATGCATATCTCTTCAAGGATGCAGAGGACCGTAATCTCTTGCACTGGGCTGCGGTGCATGGCCACGCAGACATATGCCAAGCCCTCATCGAAACAGGCCAGCTTCCCGTCGATTCGCCGGATAGCGTAGGCCGCACTCCTTTGCACAACGCCGTGTTTGCCGACTCCTACGAGGCTGCGCTGACTCTACTGCAGCTCGAGGCCAATACCAATGTCCAAGATGCTCAAGGCATCACGGCCCTCCACTGGGCTGCGTCACGCCAAAATGTTCACTTGGCTGAGCTCTTGCTTCAATACCAAGCCTTCCCTAACTACACAGAAACGCATCCGGATCGTCTCACTCCTTTGGATTATGCAGCCATGCAGGGCGACACAAAGGTATTATTTGCACACCTAAGTTGGGGCACTGCAGTCTTGTATCAAGTCACAGGCAAAGACAGACAGGGGGAGCAAGAGTGTGAAAATATTAACGCCCATTGCTTTTTTTTTTTTAATGTGCGCTCCTCATGTACATGCCTGCCTTTTGCTTAACCCCCCCC